GGAGAGAGAGAGAAAGAAGAGGGAGAGAGAGAGAAAGAAGAGGGAGAGAGAGGGAGAGAGAGAGATAGAAGAGAGAGAGTGAAAGACAGAAAAGAGAGTGAGACATAGCGAAAGAGAAAGCGAGAGAGAGAAAGAAAGGGAGAGAGAGAGAAAGAAAAGGGAGAGAGAGCAAGAGAGATCGAGAGAGAGAAAGAGAAAGAGAGAGAGAGAGAGGGAGGGATAGAGAAAGAGAGAGGACGGGAGAGACCAAGACTAGTTGGAGGTTTTCACACTATGGTCATCGCCGTGGACATTTTTATACATTATTTGCAACTGCGGAACACTATAACCTGCATCAGGAGCTGACCTTGCCATATCTACTAAGGTGCTTATATGTACACATAACAGACTTTGACACAATTTACATCGGTAGTCCAAGGTCACCGATTGCAACTCGGTGGGTGCGAGCTCGGCAATTACTCGAGAACCCCCTGGGAAGGCCCGGTAACAACTCTTATTGTGTATATATTTAATATTTAACTGTTCTATTGCTGTGAGACGGCCATGTGGAAGATAGGTCCGCGCCATTTTATTGTGTCTGTACCTAACATGTTTTGATAAAGTTTTTTACTTACTTACTTACTTACTGGTAAGGCTCGCTCGCAACGAGTTCTATTAGTTATTCAATTATATGTCGAACGTGTTTGTTTTCGACAACGATTTCGATGAATGCTACTGTAGACCTGCGCTCTGTTTGTCTAGTTCCACACAACGACCAACGTCCACGTCTCATGATTCACGTTTGAACATCCACGTTTTCTCTCGGACGGAAAACGTTTTTAGAATTGTTGGAACGTTTAGAAACGTTTTTTTTTGGGGGGGGGGGGTATCTACAATCTAACACGTGAATTTTAATCATCGGCTAAAAACGAAAAAAAAATACAAATCCAGAAGAAGCAAAATAATCGTTTATTTTCAGGCAAGGGACGACTTTTTCAGAGATAAATTATTGGAAAGAATACAGAATACGAAATAGATATAATAGATATATACAGAACGACGCACGCGCTACCGCCGGGTGTGTAGCAATTAGGTAACATTGCATCAACGGTACATGCGGCCGTCACTGCTAAAACAAACTCCCAGTAAAATAGTATTTACAGCACTCGTGCCCCGAGGCACTCCGTACGTAATCGCAAAAAAACTTTGCAGCGCATGACTTGGTACCTAATTATGCATTAACTTAAAAAGCCTGCGAAATAACGATAGTTAACGAGCACGGCGAGTCAAATATTATATGCTGGTTAAATACCAACACACGCACACGCGCACGCGCACACGCACGCACACACAGACACGCACGCACGCATGCGTACACGCACGCACGCACGCACACATCTGCATATGTCCGCACTCATAACGACACGCCTTTCTCAGTCTCTTATTTCTCTACCCCTCCCACTCTCTCCCCCCCTCTCTCTCCCACTCTCTCTCTCTCTCTCTCTCTCTCTCTCTCTCTCTCTCTCTCTCTCTCTCTCTCTCATTCCTCGTATTATATTATATATAGTTATTATATATTAGTATATCTATTATATTTATATATATCAAGAGCTAATAATACCTATACCTATACCTATAATACCTAATAATACCTAATAATACCTAATAATACCTATCAAGAGCTAAGGTATTATTAGCTCTTGATATATATATATATATATATATATATGTGTGTGTGTGTGTGTGTGTGTGTTGTGTGTGGTGTGTGTGTGTGTGTGTTGTGTGTGTGTGTGTGTGTGCATGTGCGCGTGCATGCGTGAGATATTCCATTACCCCGTATAGGCAACAGCTCAACTTCTCTATTCAAACTGGGGTGTCCGTAACACTAATACTGCCATTCCAACACACGTTCATAAATGCTGCCGCTCTCCGAGAGAGGGTAACAGCTGCAGAGCATAAGCCGTAATGCCGGCTACTGTGTTTCAATCGACAGCCAGATCCCTCTTCCTCCGGCAATCTGCTTGCCAAGCCTCACAGCGAGTAGCTAGCATCTGCCGAACATCCCCGCACACTCATTCTTGTTCTCTCACACAGACAAACACATTCTCTCTCTCTCATACACACACACACGCACGCGCGCGCGCGCACACGCACAACCACACACACACACACGCGCGCGCGCGGCACACACACACACGCGCGCGCGCGGGCACACACACACACGCGCGCACACGCACAACCACACACACACACACGCGCGCGCGCGGGCACACACACACGAGCGCGTGCACACGCACACACACACGCGCGCGCGC